TAAATTTAATATTTTTTTTAATTTACTTCTTAATTTTAATCATGTTTTTCAAGTTATTTTTTTAATTTCATAAATTCACTTTTGCTTAAAAGGATTTCTTTGTGTCTTTAATTATGTTAAGAAATGAACTTCCACGCGTGAGATTTTTTCTTTCATTTCTTGCTTAATAATTTACAATAATGAACATGGAAATTTTTATTTATTTTTTTCTGCATGATTTTGTTAAAATTTGTTGAAATTTTAAAAAAAAACTTCCACGCTGTAAAGTGGGAATTGATGTTTTTTTTTCATTCAGAAAATTGTTAAATGTATGCTTTTTAATGAGCTTTTCTGAACCATTCATGTTCATCGTTTTGAAATTAGGTAACACTTCCTATGAACTTAGAGCCATTATGTCAAGTAAGTTTTGTGTTTCTTCTACAACGATCACATTCAAGTCTAAACGACATGAATTTCGTTATTTTTTTTTCTTTCTTCATATAAAAATTTACTTAGTTTTTTCGGTTACTTTTAAGTCATTTTTTATCTACTTACTTCAACTACACATTCATGTTCACATTCATGGCTGCTGCTTATAATCAAGAAAAGTCACAAACAATGGGTTGTAGGTGGAGGCTGTACATGAGTACTTAAAGAATTGTGTATACTAAAATAGTATATATGGATACTAAAATAGTATATATGGATACTAAAATAGTATATATGGATGCTAAAATAGTATATATGGATACTAAAATAGTATATATGGATACTAAAATAGTATATATGGATACTAAAATAGTACATATACTTATGCAGTCTCTATATACACTAAATTTAATAATTTACATATTCTTTAGTGTAAACTGCGAACCACAAAACAAAATTTCTCAATTTTCCCACAATAAAAACTACAAAATCAAAATTATTCAATTAATTTGATTTATAACTTTAATTAAGTTTGACTCAGATCTTTGATCTTACTCAATTTATCATCAGCTACAAAAGAAATGTTCCATTTTACTTCATTCATTATTTTTGTGGCATTAAGTAACATTTTTCTTTATCAATGTAATAAATTAGAAAAAATCACGAATCAGCAAAATTTATTACAAATTTCATGGGGTTGAATTGAGTTGTGAGGTAGAATGGAATTGAATTGAGGTGGCACGTGGCAATTAAGAGTGATTATGTGGTGTGGAATGGGAAGTTGTCACGTCAACCAGAGCTCAAAATAGATGTTATCAATCTGGATGAAATGTTTTACAATATTTTCAGGTAAATTAGGCATGCCAGTGGCAATAATGGATCAAAAAACGAGCTATTTTCATAGTTGCACACCCCATCTACCCAATAATCACTCAATTATTAACCAAAAATGACCTCAACTTTATCGAATACCCAAAACTTTTCACTCACGAAATTCCCAAAGCTCTAAGAATCCCCTCGACAACCACTTGTTCCAAGGCTGTCCTTAACAAAAAAAGAAAGAAACAAAAAAACTTTTTTTTTTCATCTCAAGAAGAAGAAAAAAACCAAACACGGAGGAAAAAAGGACGAAAAAAATTGCTTATCAATTGATACGTAACGGTTTCATAACTTTATTTGTTGCTATGTCTCTGATGTGTACGATGGATATAAAAATCAAATTGACATTGTGAGTGTCGGCGTACATTGAATGCCAACAGTTGTTCAATTAAATAAAGCGAGAGAGCTTTCTTTCTTTCTTTATGCTGTTGCTATTTTTAGTAACTGTACAATAATAACAATAATGATGGCTGTGGTGAGGATGAAAAGGTTGAAGGACGATGAAATTTGAGGTGAGTCCCTTGAGGAGAGTGCGAGGATGATGTTAATTAAAGATTGAATTTTTGGGGGTTATTTAGATATTGACGAAAATTTTGAGGTTATGTTGCTAAATTTTGAGGTTATGTTGCTCAACTTTTAAGGTTATCTTGCTCATTTTTAAGGTTAGGTTGCTCAATTTTGAGGTTATGTGGATTAATTTTCAGATTAACTTGCTCAATTTTGAAGTTATCTTGCTCAATTTTAAGGTAAAGTTGCTTAATGTTGGAATTATGTTGCTCAATTTTGAGATTTCCTTTTTCAATTTCGAGGTTGTGCCTCTCAATTTCGAGGTTATGTTGCTAAATTTTGCGGTTAACTTTTCAAATTCTTACAATTTCTTCAGATTCTCCCAAAATCCTCATAAAGGAACACGCTCCAAACCACCTCATTGCATGTTTACTGATTATCAAGGTAAAAAAAAATTCTTCATTTTCCGCTTCTCCACCACGTGATACGCACATTTATGAGCGCCCAACAACAACATCATCACTAACAACTGTATTCACGGATTGATTACATTGAGAGCGTTGAAGCGGAATAAATTAAGACATTGAGGAAGGGGGGACCGGAGGGCTATGTTGAATTACAAATTCAGATTGTTGATTAATTTCAATCTACATAAATTTTGAAATTATTAAAATTGAAAATTATTCTCGGAAAAAAAGTATTTTTTGGGTAAAACTGTTGACATTTTGTATTATTTTGATGATCCTAAAATAGAAAAATAATTGCGATTTGAGACAAAAAGGTCAACTTTGAGAAATAAATAATAAATTTGCGACATTTAAAGCTGATTGCACACTTAAAAGTTCACTAGAAGCTTCTTGGGGACGGGGTTGAACCCTCATTTGCCACATTCTTTTTAAAAAAATTGGAAAAATTGCACATTTATTTTATAAGGATAGAATTTGCAACTTTTGAACTTCCACGCGATCTCTAGCTCTGCATAGTGTCCATATTTTCAATAAATCAACTTCATTTCGACATTCTATGAATGTATGTGTGTATATGTGTTAGTAATATTTATATGTATATGTATTTATGTATATATAATTATGATTTCTATCTAGGAAGGACTTTTCCACGAAACGACGTTAATTAAACATTTTTTTTATGTATAAAAAACTAGATTTTTTGTTCACTTTTCTGTTTTTTTTTTAATTCTAAAAATTTTCATTTTCTCTTATAAATGAGACAACAAAATAAGAGAAAATTTCTTCATTTTTTTATAATACAAAATGAAGACAACGATGACACCTTTAACTTCTAAATATGGAACGAGTTAAACATGTAGAAAAATTATTTTAAAGAAGTAAAAGAATTTTGTAAAAAAACTAAGGTTGAACGTGTTGATTAAAAGGTAGACGCACGAGTCTTTAGATAGAGTCGTAAAAAGAACTGAGATGAGATATAAATGAGAAAATGAAATTGAGGTGTACGTGCAGATTATAAGCATGGTTGAGATAGTCTTTTAAGATAATTGAAAATTATAATCAATTTTAAACTGAATAAATTGCACAAAATTTCAAAAAATTCCAAAAACTTCCAAATTTACTAAAAACTCACAATTTCAAAAAACGTTGAAAATTCTCAAAAAACAATCAAATTTTCAAAAAATTAAAAAGGTTCAAAATTTTCAAAGGTTTTAAAAAATTAAACCAAAAGTCGAAAGTTAATCAGAAAAGACACTCAAAAGTGCACGAGACTTAAAAACTTGTTGCTAAATTTTTCATCTTTTTCTTTCAAAAACTATGATTTAAAAATAATTCTCAGCCAATTCTTGATTTTTCTTCGTAATTTCTTGACTTACACTCAAAAAATGTCTTTAACAATATGGTTTAATTATATTCATCATTTATTAATTATTCATTAAGTTTTAGGTAATTTTGCTCTCAATAATTTCAATATTCTTAACTTGCATTGTTTCAAAAATTGTTCATTATTTTTTGTTTAATTTTAAATTGTGTATAATACAATTAAATGATCATTTTTAATAGCTGCCCAATTATTGACTCGATTTTTTTGTCACTCTTTGATTTTTTTTTGTCGAAAAAAATATTCTTTTTAAAAAATATCTGTCAGTTCTGAATTTTTCTAACCTCAAAATGAATTCTTGCAACTAAACCGCTAAATTTTCAGCTTCCAAGTCATCTCAATAATTTTTATAAAAGACCTTGTTACACACATACGCACACACATGCACACAAGTCAATAACATTTTTTGTATTGTTTTTTTTTTTTTAAATAATTTGTTTAAGGCATTTTGGTTTCCTGGAACGTAAACATCATCAACTACATCATCATCGTTCGTTGTTGTTGGCAACTTTAACCGGTGTTGACCGATAAATAACTTTTCAATCTGAATTAAGTTTGAAGATTTAACAATTATTGCGTCCATCGGTCAACTTTTGGTTTTTAATTTCATTTTTGAAATTTTTTTGGTTTAGTTGAACATTTTTGAGGTTAGAATAATTTTTTTGGGATTTTCATGAAATTAAAATGCCGGCAAGCAAGCTGAAAAATCTGAAAAATTTGACTAAAAAATGGAGTTTTTAATTATTTTTTGGGTTAAGACCACACACATTTTTTTCGACGAATTTAAAAAATTTCCAAAATGTTAAGTTTTTCGTCATTTTTCTAAAATATTTTAAATTTCAACTGCTTTTAGGCATTTTTTGGTCTCAATTTTGTCACATTTTCTAAGGTTTTTTTTCCAAATTTCAAAAGTTTTAAGCATTTATTTTTAAAATTTGTCAATTTCCAAACGCATCATTCGAGATTTTTTGTCTAGCCCAGGTCTAGCCTATTTTTGACACTCTTTGATCGTGTCTTTTTATTCAAACTGACAGATATTTTTTTTAAAAAATTTATGCTGAAATTTTTTGGAAAATTATAAAGAAAATAAATTTTTTTTAAAAAATTAAAATTTAATATTTTATTTGTTCAATTTTTTGCCTTTTTTTAAAATATGAAAAAATTATAAATAAATTATTTTTTCAATGTTTTTTAATGTTTTTTAAATTAAATCTTCTGGAATTTTAAAACTAGCTACAGTCAGTTTTATAAGAGTTTTTGTGAAGTAAATAAATATTTTTTTGGTTTACTAGTTCATTTTAAAAAAATCTGAAGAAAAATCTAGTACTTCTGAAAAAATCTGTTACTTTTTGATGGTTCTAGGACTTCATTGAAAAATATTTTCTATTATAAATTGAATTATTTTAAAAAAATCTAGTACTTTTTGCTGCCAATCAAATACTTTCCATCAAAAATCTAGTACACATTTAAATATTAAATCTTGTTCAACAATCAAGTCATTTTACAAAATCTAGTACCACAATACCAAGAACTTCATCTAAAAACAACCAAATTCATTACCGTGAAAAAAAATCAATTACAAAAAACAACCTTAAAAATATAATCTAATTTCTCTTCTATTTTAATGAGACTAATTATCCTCACTTGAAAATTCAAGACTCCCAAGAGGAAATCAGTCACAAAAGTTGTCAATTAAATTTATTCTTAAACTTGTTGCTATCTTCAAAAACCCAGCAAAGCTTTAAAATCCCAGAAGATTTTTCTTAATTGCTAAATAATCAATAAATTGCGCCGAATAAGAACATTTTTGTTCAATTTTTTTTAAACTTCCACGCGCATTGACATGGAGATCTCACTTAAAATTTAATTGATATGAAATTTTTTATTAATTTTAAACTGTTTAAAACAAAAAATTATTTTTTTAACAGAATTGGTTTTGTGAGGAAAAAAAATGTCAATTTTTGATTGAATTTTCCATTACAACTAATTAATGTTAATATCTCTTAAACTTCCACGCGAAGCACGGAAGTTTTTTGTTCAAATTAATTTTTAATTTTTTTTCTTAGGGGCCATTCACTTATTACGTAACGCTTTTAGGGGGGGAGGGGGGTCTAAGATTTTGTTACGGTTCAAACAAGGAAATTTTTTTTTCATACAAATTTTGTTACGAGGGGGGGGGGGGGGGTCTAAAAAGTAATTTTTTCGCGTTACGTAATAAGTGAACAGCCCCTTATAAGCAAAAATGTTTTCCTCAAATTTCTTTTTATTTTACACGGATTTTTTTATATGTTCATTAAATATAATTAACTTAGCGATTTTTATCTCGTTAATTGAGATTTTTTCCTTAATTTTCATGTTTTTTTTGTTCATAAATATTTTCAGTTCTTTTAGTTTCCATTTTTTTTTCAAGAATTAAAATTAATTTTTTTATACAACTTAAAATGCAAATGCCTTTTTTGTTCGCCTTAGTTCTTCATTTTCACGCTCATTCATTTACTTAAAAATTAATTGTAATATTTTTTTCCTTTTAAATTAGTCACATCCACTCAGTGCGATGGAATTTTTCATTTCATTTAAATGCAAACATTTTAATAATGATTTTTTTTGTTTTTGGTATTTTGTTATTTACAGGGAATTTTGGGTGAGTTTTCTTTGAGGTTTATGAGAAAATTCTGATTTTTTAAAAAAAATAATCTAGTACCTCATGCAAAAGTCTAATACTTCATGTAATAATCTGATACCTTAATTCAATATAATATTATATTTTCATGAAAATCTGATACTTTTTAACAAAAATCTGATACTTATTTTGCGTTTGTAGTACATTTTGAAGACAAACTCTAGTACTTCGATCAAAAATCTAGTACTCAGATCAAAAGTCTAGTACATCTTTGTATGATCTAGTAACTTTTCTTGATAAGTCCAAATTTTGTATGGCTTTAAAACTTGTGAGAATCAAGTAAATAATTCGATTCTCAATCAATCTAGTACCTCAATTCCCCAAATGAATCTCACCAAAATCCTCAGCAATATCAAAAAGAATTTACCTTAAATAATATTTATGCTCTAATGTGTGTATATGTTCAGTAGTTTATCTTTGTTCATCCTCAATTTGTTGTCATGTTGATTATTTTTAAACATATTTCAATTAATTTGTGTAGATTTAATGGCTGATAGCTTAACGACCTCGTGCCCATCGTAACAGTGCATCTGCCAGTACATCTAAATGTGCTTTTGTCTGAAAATATAAAAAAGATTTTTTTTTCTTAATTAGAAAATTTTCTACACAATTTGTTGCTGCCTGCCTTCAGTCTCTGCTTACAAAGTTTTTTTTTCACATTTTTTTTCTTATTCCTGTCTAGTTGATTGAGTGAAATACACGAGGAATTTCGAGATTTGTACATGAAATGTTTCGGTTTTTGAGCTTGTCTTGCTCCTTGTCAAACCATTTCTTCCTCAATTTTTTATTTTTTGCTTCTGTGTCTTGACTGTCTTAATGGATAATGTTTTGTTTATTTTTATCACAAAATCTTGAATTAATTGGTTTAAATTTCAAAAAGCCGTTAAAAATTTCAAAAAATTCAAACTTAAAATATTTGAAATCACAAAATTGAAGCTTTTTGAATTTAAAATGTCCCAAATCTCAGTTTTCAATTGAAATTCCTCCAAGAAAATCCAAATCTAGTTATTATTTTCAAAATATCTCATCAACATCTTCAAAAAAATATTTCTTTCTCTTCCTTGACATTTACAGAAATAGCTTCTTGACCTTTTCAAGATAACAACAAAAAAAAGTATTTTCGAAGAAGGATTGAGAAATGAGAAAATTAGTTAAGCTTAAATAAATTTATAAGATTGGGTGTCTTAGAAGAAGGTGTGAAGGAGCTTGATTGTAGGTGTTAAGAATGATAATTTGAATATTTTTTTTTTGATGAGCTTAATTGGGATTGTTTTACGAAGAATTGCTAAATTGTTTTATTTTGGATATTTTGAGTGACATTTCGAGAATTTTAAGATTTTCAAATAGTTTTGTTATTGAATTTTTGAATTTTTTGAGTCTGATCTGATTTTAGGTATGTGTAGCTGCTCCAAGAGCCTAAGGGAACATTACTTGAATGGTTTAGTGATACTCATAGGCCGAACTACTCGAGTAGCGATTCCATGTTGTACCATATCATTCCTAGAACTGGAAAAATCGAGTCCTGATGTTACAAAATTTCAAACTGACTACACCTCTGTACCCAACTCCTCCACACAACTCACAATACCGATTGTCACGATTCAACAATAAATTCCTAAGCTTTTAATTAAGTTGAGAAATTTGAGACATTTTCTCATTTTCTCCGTGGAAGGTCAAGAGGTAAGCAACTTTATCCATTAATTTTAAGCCTCTTTTAATGAACAAAATTTCTTCCTTTTTTTTATTCCTCAGTTAAAATCCTTTTTATGTTTGTGTTAATTACGGTTGGCTTTTATTGTTGTTAAAAACTTTTTTATTTTCGTGTATTTAATCCGAACGTGGGGGGTGTCATGATAATCCAAAAGGGGAGTTTGGATTAGCCATAAAAGTTATTTTTAACATTAACTCATTATTTATTACAACCTTTTTCCAAAAATATCTTTCCTAATCCCCAAAACTTATTCATCCTCATCCGGTCAGTTAAGAAAAAAAAACTTGTTCATTCACATAAAATCATTTTCTTCATGATAAACTCATAAAAGCCACTAAAACCTACCGAAAAAAAATAGCTAAAACTCAATTGTAAGCATAAACCGCCAATTATTAACAATGTCAGGCTTTCGGCAGGAACAACAACAACATCAGCATTTATTTGTAATTGAAACAATAAATGACATACGAAGAAATGAAGAAAAAAGAGAATAGAAAGAACATTTGTGTGTCTATTTTTAGTTCTTTTTTTTGAATGTATACCATAACATGGTTGTGGATGTGCTTCTCATGGGAGTGGGGTGTTGGGCGAATGAACAGAAAGAAAAGCAATAATGGATTTTTATAAATAACGCCAGAAAGTCTCACTTTCGATGGAAAAGCAAAAATTCTATTTTTTGAAGATTTCTTAAAGATTGTGAAATTGGATTTGAAGACTTGTTTGATAATTGAGAATTAGGTGGGAGTGGGTGTCGATTTTTATGAATTATTCAATGATTTTTGTCAGAATCTTTCCAAAATGTAGACCGTTGCGTGTCAAATTTTCAAAATTATTCAACTTCAGATAATCCGTACCCCCCATGCGGATTACATTGCATCCCCGTCCGGATTAAACAAAAAATTCATCAATTACTCACCGTTTTGTAAAACATGCAAGCTTGCCGATCTTCATCAGCACCCTCAGGACAATCGATAAAGCCATCACACAGCACGTGATCATCTATACATCGATATCGTCCCTGTCGGTCAGGTGTTGGGCATGCGAAACGTTCCATACCATCTGTCGCAGGAGGACATTCTGTAATGAAAAAGTAAAAAAGTGGAACAAAAATGAGAAAAATAAGAAACACAATTTTTTTGCGTGTGTCGAATTTTTATTATTTTTTATTTGTGATGGAAATTTTATATTTTTTTTTCATGAATGAAAAAAGTTTTTCGGCTTTTTCAGGATTATTATTTTTTTTTGCAGAATCAAGATAGTTGCGAAGGCGGAATATAATTTGGTGGGAGGAATGTAAACTTTTTAATTTGAGTGCGATGGGAGTTAAGGTAGTTGGATGGTGACACGAGCTGTAGTTTTAAAGCCTTTGGGCGTCATATTTTGAGTGTGTGCAAATCAGAATTTGTCATTTTAAATGCCAAACTAGTGTTCTGGATGATATAGTCAGGGATCATGTCAAGGATACCTACTGGAGGTTGGTTATGAGATTAACTTCAATGTTTTACAAAGTTTAATGTTATTTAGACCAAAATACATTAAAATAAACTGAATTCAGCTTGTTGCACCTTTAAGACACCTCATAAGACCCTTTGGAACCCCTTGGAACACCATAGAACCCCTTAAAACCCAATAATCCTCATCATACCAACTCAACTCCCATTCACCATTCCAAACATCTCAATTTCAATTCCATAGCCATCATCATCGATTCATATCACCATTTAGGCTTAGTTCATTGAATTCCAGTCAATAAAATAACGAATTTATATCACATACTTACAAGCAATTGACTTAAATTGTCGTACTTAAATCATAAATTGTCAAGTAAAAATCTCAAATTATTCCCCATCATTTAGCTGATCGCATCAAATATCAGTGAGGATGAAAACTGTTGCGAGAAACAGAATCAATTTCAATAAAGCAGAAATGAAACGAGTCGAATGAGTGAAGAAAAAAAAAATCGAATCTATTTTTAACTCCTTTTTTACATTCTCATTCCATTTATTGTGTTTGATAACAATAAAAACTACTACAATCGAGTTTTGGGAGGGGGTTGAAAATTCATCGAAGCTCTCTTTTTAAAAATTATTCAGTCACACACACACACAACCACACAAAATAGAACAAACATTCGAAAAAGCTTCACAAATCCTCTGTCTGACTGGCGTGATATGTTGGTCGGAATAGTCTGGACGTTGTGGCGCCAACCTATATCTTCTCAATTTTTTTCCCTTCTTTTTCGCCTTCTCTTTCCTCCTCACTTCGCCCACTCAATATAAATAGATAGAATTGCGAAAAAAAGAATGAAAATTGTGTTGAGGAATGGGAAGTGGATGGGTGACTCTTCTACAACTATTACCGCTATTTGTGACAAAGATTTTTTTTTGTTCTTCCTTCTTATGTCGTTGGAAATTGTATTAATGGTGATATAATGGAAGTTTGAGAGGTATTAGTGATGGTTGTAGATACGTAGCTTATATTTTTGGGTATGAGAACCGATTGGGTACCTTTTGCTTAGTTTATAGCTACTGTTGGGTCAATAAGGGCTTAAAACACGTCAACTGACTCTATTTGTTCAACCAGACCCCTAAATTTCTTGCTCAATTCAAATATAAAGGCAACGTTGATTGTAGAATGAATTTAAGGTCAATATTAGGGATACTGAATGAAAACAGCTCATATTACATAACTTCCTAAAGTTTCTGAGCCATAACCTCCTATCTCCTCCCATAAACTTCAGTTTATCCTCAAAATCATCATCATAACCTCAAAATTCCCACCAATTTCGATCCCAATCCACAATCCTCAATTGCAACCAATTTTTCCCACCAACAAAACTGTTAACAGCTCCCAAAACTCTCGAAAAAAAGACACAGTCAATGAGTCATTCGAGCACCAAAAAGCTACACATTTCCCACAAAAATATTCATACATAAAAACGAATTGATATTTCACTCTGTGTGTTTTTTGACGCTTCCCACGCTTAGTGCTCTCTTTATGTTATGAATATATATATTTCTTGTGCTCTCTGTGTGAATACTATGGAAAAATAGGAGGAATTTTTTTTCTCATTGTGCCACAAACTTGTTAATGGATATTGTGTTATTGGGCAAAAATATTCTGATTGCTGATTTGAATGGATACGAGGGTGAAAATTTCATTCATGATGCTGTGTGGTGTGTGTGTGGTTTTTTTGAATAACTTTTTGTTTTAGCTTTTTTTGGTATTTAGCAGAAAATTAGTTTAAACTTCTTTTGATGATCTTTGTATCCACTATTGATGACCTGCGTACCCCTTTTTGGTGACCTGCGTACCCCTTTTGACGACCTCCGTACCCTCTTTTATGATCAGCATACCCCTTTTGATGACCTCTGTACCTGTTTTTGCTGACCTTTGTACCCATTTTTGATGACTTTCGTACCCATTTTGATTACCTGCATACCTCTTTTTATGACCTTTGTACCTATTTTTGATGACTTTCGTACTTCTTTCGATGACCTCCGTACCCTCTTTTATGATCGGCGTACCCATTTCTGATGATTTTCGTACCCATTTGTGATAACCTGCGTACCCCTTTTCTGACTTTTGTAACTCCTTTTGATGATCTATTTCCCCCTTTTTCCAACCCGATACCCTTCTTAATGAATATTAAACCCAAACAAATCCATGCTCAATAGCTCATCCATTCAATATTTTTAACAAACAGCCAATAAAATTTTACAGCAAATATATTCAGCAATGACGCAAATAAATGACCTTCATCTCCTTACACATTCATTCCTACTTAACTACAATCTTTTTCATTGTTGTCCTTCGAAAATAAATTCAGCTCATCAAATTTTCGAGGCAGCACCATCCCACCCATCCCTTCTGACTGTCTCATTCATTTACTTCTATATAAAGAATTAATTCAGTCATTGATTAATGATTAAATCAGGAAACATTTTATTTCCTCTTTTTGTGACAAAATTCACACAAAAGCTGTCATAATTTTTATCGTATCGTGGACTGAAAATAGAATTGAATTACAGTCGGAGCTGGAATGAATGAAATTCCAGCGAAGTAATCAAATGTTGCCTTTACAAAATATAAATGATTGAATATTTTATAATTGAAATTTCACACACAGTTAATGACTTTTTTGTTATTATTTTTAACCATTTTCCGAGATTTCTTTCAATGGAGATTTACTCAATGCGATTAAACAAGATTGATGTCGAGTTATTTTTGTTAAATTTCCGACATAAAGTGATTATTTCTTTATTTAGAACTTTTATTTCAATTCTCATAAATCTCAAAAAAGCAACCCACAAGTTCATTGCATATTAATAAACTTTGAACCCATTTCAGATGGTCACTTGATTTGTCATGCCATTGATTTTAATGCTAAACGATTCATTAGCATCGGAAATTTCACAAACCCAAAATTGATTCAGTTCCCCTCATAAATAAAGGTACCACTTTTTTGTGGCATCATCAAAAAAATGATAATAAATTTTTTATCGGGTGATTTTTGTGGCTTTGATTGAGGGTTGGGAGGTTCAACTGGAATGAGTCAAGTTTTATTTGAAGAACCACAGCACAGTCTCTTCCCATCATAGTCCTGCCTAATTTCACATCAAGTAAGAAAAGCAAGTCGTGCGTCATATTCTTGGAAAAAGTTTAATGTCTTCCCAATATGACGCACATCAAGAAATGTGCAATTTCTGCGGAATTTCTAACATTTTAAGAACTATAATCAATTTCTAAAAGTAAGCAAAAATTCTAACCTCAAAAAAGTACCCAGCAACTCAATAAATATTTTTCCCACATCACATCCTCATCGAAATAAAATCATCGCTATTACAGATTCCGTAATGCTGTGAACGTGACATTTTGGTTTCCTTTCTTTTTGATGCAATAGCAAATGTCAACTTTTTGCCTCGAATAATAAATAAATTGTCGATCATGATAAGAAAGCCATGGCACAATTTGTTATAACTTTATGAAATCATTGAGCTCTGATACTTGAAGTCACTCATTTACATATCGTAAATTTCTTATCGTGATTTTAATTGTGGGTTGAATTGAGTTGTTGAAGAAAGAAGTGCACGAAGCTATCTATCATAAAATCAAGGCACCATCCCACCCAAAGCGCGTGCAAAAACTTCACAACTTCCTCTCAAAAAATATTTTTTTTTTAAAAAAATATTTCTTCTGCTTACTTTTGAATTATTACTTTGTTTTTCTTCCGGACCCTTAAATTTTATTTAAGATTCAAGGGATTTTCAGTGTAAAATTAATGGCTATTGTATAGACACTTTTGTGCTGACTGGTAGTTTCATAAACATGAGAAATTATTAGATTAAGTTGGGTATAAATTTGAGAGTGATCTAGTTGTTGTTGAAGGAGCTTTGTTCGAGATGAACTTTATAACCTCAAAAATAAAGGAACATGGGATGACTATGCAGTTTTAATATTGATAATTGGCTTTTAAATAATCAAAAGTAACCAAATTTGGTCGAAATTTGAGATGAATCTTCAAAAATTGATCTCGTGTGCTATATTCAGGATTCTAGTTTAAAGTGTTCCTAAAAATAGTTTGAATCAGATTTTCTTATCCTATTTTAAGATTCCATATAGAATAAATCAAAATAACAAACAAAAAAAATTGCTATGCGTCATATTTTGAGAAATAGTTTACTGTCTTCCCCAAATATGAAGCACAAATAAGAAAACAAATGAATCAGCTCAAGTTCTTCCTCCCACGATTAACATGCAGCATTAAACAATCCCCATGTCTACAAATTTTCTATGTTCAACGAATTACGTCACACAAATAAACAAAAAAGGATCAAGTTTACCTTTCTAAGTATATCCAAATCCTCAAAGAAAAAATAAACATTGAAAAAAAGGCACATAAAAAGTGAAAATCAAGTTGAATAAAAACTTGTCGAAATCTATTTTTAGAAACCCATAAAAAAACTACGCAAATCCTTCAGTTTCATCATCTTTCGTTGTGTCAGGAAATTTCATCGCATATCCAATTCATGATGATTTTGGGGGAGATTGTCAGCCCACCGAGTATCAATGAAATTGCTTGTTTTTCAACTGCCCTTCCCACCCAACCCTACTATCTTTTGCCAATATTTTCATTCTCGATGTTTTTCATGAATGACACCCACGCACAACAGTTTGAGAATGTGAGAATATATGGAAGTGAATCACTACGAGGATATTGTTATGAAGAAGTTGATGACACACAGAGAAAGAGACAGAGCGAGATGATAAAAATAAGAATTATTTTTTATTACCATCACGGATTATTGATGGACCAATGATAATGTTATTGATGTAGCCCCGTTCTGCTAAGAATATACTGCAGATGAATATGTGAGCAATTTTTTTTGCGTAGTCGGATTGAATAAATAAATGAAATGATTTAGTAGCTCAGCGAATTTGACGAATTAAGAGCTCTTGTCGATGTCTCATGGCTGATTCAGAATGTAAATATTCTTGATGATGTCAGTAATGAAGATGATATGACGTCAATTATCGAAATTAGGAGATTCGTATGTTATGATGATGCAGTCAAGGCTGAATTTGAGGCTTTTTAGGTTAGAATTTGCCAATTTTTGAGGTTAGAATCCCATTTTGAAGCTCAGTTTTTTATAAAATTTACTCTCAAGTCAACACAAAGCATCCAAAAATGCAACAATTTTCCCAAAAGCACAATTCAATCCAACATAAACTCAATCTAAAACTTGATTATTCCAATTCCCCAACCAGCCTCCGGACAACACTTTTATATTATTGTTATCTAATTTATCTTCCACATACGATCAGATTTACATGATTTTTTGAAAGAAGAATTATCAATTTTTTTTATGAATTGCACATGCTAACTCGAGGCGATTGTAGTACTGTGAGCATGTAACGTAAAATTGAATTGAGTAAATGGAAGGAAGGAAATTTGATTGTTGGAACAAAGTAAGAATTGGATATTGTCATAGAGTTGTTTGAGTGGGATACTTGAGGAAGTATTTTTTGTGTGGTGTATTGGTAAAATGGAAGGGTTGCTTTGTGTACAAAAGTTGAGATTGAATTCATTTATATTCAGGGGGAGACAGTAAACTTTTCCCAAAAATATGACGCACGAAAATTAGAAAATTCATGTCTTTCTAAGAAGACATTAAAACATCTTCAAATTTTACATCCCAAATGAACATCCCGCACACATTTACCTCAATCGTTATTTACAGTTGAAATTCAAACAAAAGAACAAAAAAAAATTTTGGAAGTTCCTACGACAAAGTCAACACAAGAATTTTTCATTCAAAATTTGTTCTATCGTTGAATGAATAAAAAATAAAATGTCAAATACGTGAAATGTCAATTGAATCTCGAGGCAGAAGAAGAAATGAACAGATTCCTAACTAAATATTTGTGCAACAAGCAGAAGAGAATTGATTCCTTCGGGCACTCGATCTGAAACAATGAGGATGTTAAAAAAGTTCGTAGGCAATGACAACATTCTTTTACAAGTTTTGAATTTTTAATAATGGCCAATTATGTGATGATTATCGTTACGGTCATGGGATGATGGGATGATGTGGATGATGGGAGTTCTTTTGCTGGCATTTTCAGTGTTGGTTCCACAGTTGCTTGATTTTCTGACAGTTTAAGGTTTATCAGTGTATGACTTGGCTAGGCACTACAATGAAGATAGTTCACTTCTGAGCTTTTCAAGTCGTTCAGAAACCTTGATAACGTCAGATTCCGTTGCTTTGATTAGTGCGTACGTCTGGCTGTTTACATTTATTTCTACCTCCTGAATAAGATATCATCTAGCTCCAACATACTCTCAGATGACATCATTGTCCATGTTATGACGACCACCACCTCCAAAAACTTTCACATCTAATTGAGCAATTAAGGGACATTTGAATCTCCTCGTGTTTAAATAAAATTAGAATTTCAGATTCTGTCCTCACACTCCATTCCTCGAACTTTCACTTCATTTGCATTTAGTGAAAAAAAAAAACTTCATCTTGGCATAAAAAGAAGCCAAAAGCATTTTTATAATAAAAATAAATTGCATCATGCGGTAGTCAGTCAGTCAAAATCATATTATATATGCAAATGAGTCTTTTGATGATTTTTTTTTCTTTCTTTTCCTCTTATCAAATTCAAGAAATCTGCTCAAAAGAAAAACGATTTTTTTTCTTGCGTGTGGGTGAGAAAATTTCATTTTCTTTCTTTTTTGCTCTCAAAAGCTTCTGTTTTGATTTTCATATTTGCTTTATTTACATGTGCTTCAAAGGGAAAGATACTTTTGATATCATAATGATACTGATGAATGAAACGATGCGATGTAAGGAAGTTGAGTTGATTAAAGTAAAGTACAGATCAAAGTCTTGTCTCATGATGATTCAAAATTTTAAGAAAAAAAAAACTGTTGATATATTTGGGGAGAGACTGTAATGTTTTCTCAAAATATGGCGCACGATTAAGGATCTTTAAAGTTTATATTTGACAACAATTATCAGTTAATTATATTTTTAAATGAATGAGATCAAAGTATAGCAATAAGCTATTAATATGGAGAATAAATTAATGTTTTCACCCAAATATAGCGCACGGAACACTTTTTAATAAAAAAATCACCCCACTATTCAGATATTTTCTAATGCTTATCTCAAAAAACCGTTCATCTAAAGTTAAATGAAGCATAAATCCATACTAATGTGTTCCATTGAATATGACGCACGTGCTGCTTTTCGATTTCATCTAATTTAAATTCATTTCTTTCAAATTAATTTAAATTTCAAAAACTTAAGATACAATTTACAAAAAAAATTAAAAGTCAAATGACTTCTGAATCTAGATATTCAATAAATTATGACATGAAATACAACTCTTATGTGCTAAACAGCCTCCACATGTAGGCCAAAAAGTTAACTTAATATTCCAGCATTAATAATTAATTTTCCACCCAAACCAATTCCACAGGTTGAGATGCCACCCCCTTGCACCCCTACCACTGCGATCATGAATGAGATGTACGCTGATTGCCTTCGAGCTTATTTGCAATTTTAATTTTTCTTTCTCTGCTTTTCTCCGGTCTTGATCATCATCATAATCACAATCAAATATGAATAAGAGAAGAAAATATGCGGAAAATTTGATATCATGAATGTGAAGGCAAAGAAGTTGGCAATTTTATGTGGGAAGTATTTCTAACATCTTGTGTTTGTTTCTTGCCTTTTCGTGGAGGAAAATTAATTTTTTTTTAAGGGGGCCTTTGGGACTCAAATTTTATTATTTTGGATGAATTTTCGCTAATTTTGGAAATGAGAAATTTTTTTCATGGCTAATTGCTGTGTTTTTTTCTTTTTTTGGTGTGCTTGATTTTTGAGGCTAATTTTAGATGTCATTGCTCAGTGGTTCAAGGGATTTTTGTTGTTGTTGTTGCCTCTAAAATTGAACCTCTGATATGATTTGTTTTAGGTTTAGCATTGTTGTGATTGACTGTAAGTTGCTTAGCTATATAGTCACTAAGGACATCCTCAAAACCACTTCTATTTGACTTCACCCGAAAAGCATAAGTTGGTTAATCGAATAGCAATCCTGCACTAAGCTGGCGTAGCTCTGGCATGGTGCTATACTTAAATCGAATCCGGTGATGCTAGAGTCACGCTGGATTTCCATTCGATTAACCGCCAAGTGTTGTTCTTGTCAATTAATCTTGAATTCTTCAAAAACCAGCTCCACATGACCTTAGAAGCCAAAATTTAATCAAACTCAAAAAACTTTTTCTTCTTTAACTCAAAATTGATCTAAAATTTATTTCACAAATTCAATTTAAAATTCCCTTTGAAGCACAAAATACTTTGATTTGTCAATTTTTGAGTTGAAGGTTAATTCAAATTCACGTTGATTCAGATTCTCAATTGATACTTATTCGGAATTGTAGATTCAAATTTCAATTCAATTCAAAGAAAAGAAGAAAAAATTTTATTTTTGAATTTAAATTTAAAGTTAGTGATTCTTCTTATGGAGTTGAGTTGTTTTAGATTCAAACACAGAGGATCCACTCCCTGAAATTTTTAGAGCCCCCATGACCCCTTGCTATCGACACTCAAGTATCAATAACCCCAAATATGCACGAAAAACTTCAAAAATTTCCATCATTTAACAACAAAAAGTATCAAAAAGTGTACTCACGGATAAGCGGCACGTCATATTCGCGTTGTCTTCGTGTCGTCCTTGACATCATTTGATTAATCATCGCACCAGATACATCCTGCATCTCTTCAGCAGCACCCAAGCCTCCATCACGTTTTCTTTGTGTCTCCTTTAAGTTGTCATTTTTTTCAGGAATTTTACCAAATTGTTCACTCATAATCTGCTGTTGAAGCTGATATTCCTGATACTTTCGAGCACCTTCAATGCCAAAGAGCTCCTGAAGTTCACGCTCGAGCTTACCATCGACTTGTGCTGATGGATATTCATTAGATGTGAAATTATTAATTTTGGCTGTTGTTGCCGATGTGAGATTATTATTATTGCTATGATTTTGGATATCAATTAATGATGATGACGGTACTGATGATGACTGATCATTTGTGTCATCAATATCTGATGTTGAACTAAAGCTATTCCGTCGTTTACTGTGAGTCTCATAGAACTGTTTGCTACTGCTACTGTTAATTCTGCTTTCCTGCTGCTGCTTCTTACTTTTTCGTGACTTTTTACTTCCACGTCTATTATTATTATTATTATTATTACTATTACTATTTAAATTATTATTATTGTTATTATTTAAATTATTATTAAAATTATTATTATTATTATTATTAATATTCTTATTATTATTGCTACTCAGCTGTGTATAGAGCATACTATTGGCATTCACGAGACGCGGCATAAAATATGGTGAATTACTAGCACGCCATTGTACATCATATACATCAGCACCGTCGATTGTATCAGGACTTAAATCACTAAATTGTTGAACATTCGCAGGAATTCCAATGTCGACATCAATCGATGATGGAGCAATGGCACCGCCTGTAGCAACAGCATCAGCATTTGCACGACGATAGCTCACGAGTGACTGCGGCTCAAGATAACTCGAGGACGTCCGTGTACTCGTCAAGATACTCAGGTAAGCTAAGATTTTTAAGACTGCACGAAGCATTGCTGATTATTATGGAATTTTTTTGTAAGTTTCTAGTCCACGGTTGGGATTTTTTTCTTCTTTCCTTTTGGGAAATTGAGTTTCTTTTCTTTAATTAACTTTGGTTTTTTCGTTTGGGAATTTCCCTTGACGATTTGATGACTCTACGTTGCAGTATCAATGTAACTTTATGAATATCAAAGAAAAATGAGTTTGATTGATTGAATTATTGCTGAAATGAGAAGAGAAAAAAAATGTTCATTAAATCTTAGTTTTTTGTAGGATTCGACTTCGGTTTCCATGTAAATAATCGATTTTAATTGGATTAATCCACTTTAATTGCTATGAATAAATTATTTGTGAGGTTCATGAACTGCTTTGGATTCTGAGGTTTGGCTTTAATGCTTTAACTTGATTACGTTGATAAAATATGAGTTAATATTTAATGTGAGAACTGCTTGTTAGATGAAGACGTCAAAAATTAATGAACCTTGCAACATTGTAGCAATTTGATTCATTAAAATTGCAAATATTGCAGCATTGTCGCGATAGCAGACGGTATTTAATTATAAAGACACAACAGGTTCATTTTTAGAATGTTGCCGAAAAGATAGACTAGACTTGTACTAGACATCCATCAGGCTATTTACTTGTGATGTCAAATTTCACACTTGTTGTCTGTCAAAAAAGTCTTAAAGCGTCCATCAAAATTAAGCACTTGAAATGTTTTGAAGGCTATTCACTCAAAAGTCAACCACAATGTGACGAGATATGTCCTCAAAATTGTCAGGAGCTACATTCTACATCAATAGTCTAAAACCTAATCCCACACATACAGCTTCATCTAAATCCTTAATTTAACACAGCTTCTCTCCTCTAAATCGTACACAAATCTTCCTTTTCAGCATCTATCCTGCACGAAATCCTACAAACACATCTGGAGCACACAAAAAAAGAAGTCCTGCAAACGATGCATGAAATTTTTACCAGAAAATCCCTCGCACATGTGTCGATTTAATTTTAAATGCTTCCACATGTGTTGACAGTTTTGAGTTTCCAGCAAATTACCGTTTATAATTTCTAAAAGACAACATTCAAGTGAAAGATCCTTAAAATTGTTTTTTTTTTCTGGGTATATCCCTAAGTCGGGGTAGGAAGTGTGAAGTAGAAAGTAGTTTGTAGACAGTAAGACGCTTGAATATGGAATTTATTTTAAAGAACTTTAAGACCTGGTTGCTCTGTAAAGTCTAATTTGATGAAGCTGGTGTTACTCTTGGATCCTTAATTGCTTATTGGACAATTCAATCATTTAACAGCATATAAAAAAAATCATTCAAGTCCATCTGAAATCCCACGAATCATCTCAAGAAACAATTAAGCTTAAGGACATCAAAACATAAATATAGCACAAGACTTAATTGAATTTAATCATAAGTATGAACAAGGATGTTGCATTATTGCGATAGCAGCACTTGTAACTTAAAGAACAACATTGTAAAGTGCTTAATGGAATTGAAAATGTTTACTTTGTATGAAATTTCGCCATTGATTCTGTTTGGTTATTTTAAACTTAATATGTACCTCTTGCTTTAATTGAGAGGAGTTTTGAAGATGCTTGCATGTTTTGCTAATTTTAATTAATATTTAGAGAAAGACATTAATGTTTATGGAGGAATATAACGCATGTTACTGTATTTAAGTCATTTAAAAGTCATTTAAGATACTGATGGACTCGGAAAGAGCCAAGAACACCAATAATGTTGATTTTACAACAAACAGGACTGATTTGATCCTTTTGTAGGAAGAAGAAGTACTTGAATGATCGTTTGAGTTACCTGACATACCAAATTTATCCATCAAATACATAAATACTCTGCTAAGTTCTCATCAACCTGTCAAACCTCCTCTCCTATTTATTAAAATCCCCACAACAATGACAACCAAGCGAACCATCAAAAATGACAACAAAATTCATGGTTAATTTACTTCCTGAATTTCTAATTCTTCCTCCACCTCCCAAAAAAAATCCATTATCATTTATTTCAACTATTAATTCAACCCACACACAGCCATCGACCAAATAAATATTCAGCACAAAAAAAAAACATTTCCATAAATTTGTGCCCACATTTGTGACTGCAAAAAACAATGAAATAAAATTCCCAAAAGAAATTTCTTTTTAACAAAATTAAGTGCAGGGAACCGATAGACATCATGACACCATATACATTTAGTCTATTTACTCTGCATGTTATCCTCTCATCCTACTGTGCGTATTTATGTACAACATGCAAAGCGGACATCATCACAACTTTTTCTTTCACCGAAGGATATGTGTGTGGATGTAGATGAAGACGAAGAATATGAAGAAAGGAAAGGAAAGAGGATTAAAAAGAAATTATCCTTCCTCATTTTTTTTAAATGTCACATACGGTCAAAGGAAGATGAAAAAGGAGATCAAATTGTGTGGAAGATAACAAAAAAAAAATGTTTTTTTTGAAGCGGTTGGAACGAGTTGCTTTAGGTTGAGCGCGATTTTAGAGAATTTGAAAAAAAAAAATTGAGGTTAGGTTTGAAAAATTTTCTTGATTTTTGAGGTTAAATTCCTAAAATTACTTGAATTTTGAGGTAAAGTTCTGAAATTTACTTGAATTTTGAGGTTAAGTTCCCAAACGTACTTGAATTTTGAGGCTAAGTTCTCAAATTTACTTGAATTTTGAGGTTAAGTTTTCAAATTTCCTTGAATTTTGAGGTTGAATTCCCAAATTTACTGGAATTTTGAGGTTAAGTTCCCAAACGTACTTGAATTTTGAGGTTAACTTCTCAAATTTACTTGAATTTTGAGGCTAAGTTCTCAAATTTACTTGAATTTAAAGGTTAAGTTCCCATATATACTTGAATTTTGAGGTTAAGTTCTTAAATGTACTAGAATTTTGAGGTTAAGTTATCAAATTTACTTGAATTTTGAAGGTTAAAATCCCAACTTGATCAAATTTTGATGTTAAATCACGTGAAAGATGCGCTTAATACCCCAAAAAAGAGAAAGAAAGTGACAAAAAAGGAAAAATTTGTCAGAGGATGAAAAGGACAATTTAACCAGCTTCCGCAATTCCATTAAAACCCAAGCGTGCATCAACATTTAATAATCCCTCACAACTGTATTCAGATCGTTTTCTCATTTTTTAACACGACTCGAAAGTAAGAAAAATGTTGCTCAACCCGAAGAGATCATTGAAGGATAATAAATCGTTGATTATCCCCTTTCTACTGGTGCTGTTCCAACTGCTTTGATCCCTCGAACGTGTTCATGTCTGTTAGATTGCAGTTGTCCACAAAATTTAACTTTCTCTACTGTGTCTTACTGTATGTCAAGTCAAAAACTGTTTTCTCATCACATCCATTTCTTATTGTTCATGTTATTGCTCCAAAAATGACGAGAACGATGATGAAGATGATGATGTGAACTTATAAGCATGCCATTTGTTTATATTTTCATCCCCAACTCTCGACTAAGTATGCGAATAATAATTTTTCTTGTTGTTTTGCTTTATGTAATGCGATGGGATGAATATCAAATGTGATGAATATAGGGAAATTCTGTCTTTGATGATGTAGTCGATGATATGAGGCAATTTATGCTGGAACTTGATGTATAAGTTAAATTGAGTGGGTTGGATGAGATTTCTTTTTTTTGGCGTACTTTGTGAATGGGATAATTTGATGATTTGAATGGGAATTGAAGATTGTTGAGTGGATGGTGAATCATAATTGAGAGCATTCGGCTGTAGTTTGGCTAATGTTGAGATATTACTCATCTTATTGCATCTTGTATGATTTATTTAAAACGCTTGATTCCTGTTCAATTAATGCAGAAATCATGACATTTTTTTTTAACTTTAAATTTCCAGGAATTGTCCTCGCTAAAGGCTAGAAATTGTGTAATTATCCCTAATTCTCAGTAATCCATTAAAGTAGATGTCGAACTTCGCATGACAATATGAAATGTCCTTCCAGGTAGTTCAATTAATTTTCAATAAATGTTTATTTCCGGGTACCTCCTTCCCCCCAATCCACCTCTCGGGATAAAATCCAATCCATCAAAAATGTGTCCACGTAATTTTTAATTAATGGAAACAGCTCAAAGTCATTTGAATTTTTTATGCTTCGTCATTCTGCTTCAGTTAATTAAAAAAAAATAATTTTATCTCTTCAATCTCATCATGGAAACTTTCTATTTCATTTCATTTTATGCTTCATCGACAAATTACCGTAAATGCTTCATTAAATTACTATTTGAGGGCTGCCTTTAATGACTGAGTTCATTAAGTACTTTGATAGGAAATTTTCAGTACCCACAAAAAAACAAGCCATCTGTGTGATTATGGCTTGATGACTTATGAGAAGTGAACATTTGAAGTAGTGACGTTAATGATTTTTAGCACATTTTCTACTTCGATTGAGGCTTTTGTTCTTGTTGTTGCTCATTATTAGCCGCACTTTGTGATTTGACAAATATTGATTGAGGGGATTGTTGTGACGACAATCGACTATTATGGCTCAATTGTCTTCGTCTTCAAGGGTGATTATTGATAGAAATTAATGGTTGTGCTGTGATTGGAAATTTTTTTTCAGTTTTATAGGATACAAAAATAGACATTTTTAATGAATTTTTTAATAGGAAGTTGAAATTTATGTTGAAATATTGAACAAGGTTGTGATTGATTTGAAGGTATAGAAGGAAAAGTAGCATGGTCAATATCTCGAAAAAGTGACCAAAAACTAAACCACAATTGAGGAAAAGTGAGCTGCAACTGAGCAAAACTTGGCAACAATTGGGCAAAACTGAGCAACAACTGAGTTAAACTTAGCAAGCTGAGCAGCAGCTAGTCAAACTTAGCAACGTCTGAGCAACAACTAAGCAGTATTGAGCAACAACTGCGCAAAATTGAGCTACAACTGATCAAAACTGAGCAACAACAGAGCACAACTTAGTAAACTGAGCAGCTACTAGTCAAACTTAACAACATCTGAGCAACAACTGAGCAAAAACTAAGCAAAACTGAGCAACAACTGAGCACAACTTAGTAAACTGAGCAACAACTATGCAAACTTAGCAGCAACTAGTCAAACTTAACAACATCTGAGCAACAACTGAGCAAAAACTAAGCAAAACTGAGCAACATCTGAACAAAACTTAAGAAAATTCAACTAAAACTCATAATCACATCCTGA